TTTTCCTGCAATCAACCCTTGAATACGGTTACTGTACGGACCCGCAATCTCGGCAGAAACGAATTTCGTTAGATCCGCCACTCACGACAATTTGTAACTCAGGATTTCGAATCAACGGTCAGAGAACATACGAGCAGGCCTGTTCAACTAGAACACCAATGAAAATGCGTATCGTAAAATTTTAGCAAATGTGGGTGCTTCGTTGCATGATTGGTCGGACCAAAGGACTCGCTCGATTGGAGGGTCTTGCCTTAACATTTCAACTTTTAGAGCTCCTACGCCACACTTCCGCCCATGCATTGCCTTTCCACTAGCTGTCCCATCAGCAGATGAATCGGAATTAAACAGACACTACGCTGCCTCCGTTGATCTATTGCCTGATTCTTATTGGCTCGATCAGATCTTGGGACGAATCATAGACTGGCGGTAAGGAGTTGCATGAAATGAAATCCAGTCGGTGGTCAGTGTGGGAATAAAGGAAGTCGCCGTAGAGAGCAGTCGCCCTGCAGATGTTCGACAACAATGCTAAAAATAAGTGCCTTATACAGTACCGAATTGCACAAACGGCATAGCCTTCCCGGCAGCCATTAAAGTCATTCTCGGGACTACAGTACTGTATAGTGAGCGGTCGTACTGTAGATTACCGAAAATCAACAAAATTCAGATGCTGCGCTGCGCTGCCAATCGCAAGGAGGTACCGGCCCACTCGCTGCTCGCCATATACTATTTAACTACCTTGCAGTCCGTCACCTATAACCACGACTTCTCAGTGCAGCACGGGTGCCAAAATGTCCTCGAGCAGTGACCCCGTCATGCTCAACGTCTTTATGTCGCCGCCATATTCACCGTCATCACCCGACTGCTCTCCAATGGACACCACCTCCACAATGGCGCCTGGTATGCTGGACCGACATTTCCCGATGACGCCGTTCCCATGTTTCAACTCGTCGATGCCTGCTGAATGGACTGACTCGGACCAGCTGTCACAAGGAATAGACGCATATGATTTCGCCTGTTATCTTGAGCTCCTTTCGCCCCTGGCAATGTTCTTGCATGGCGATTCCCAAAAGTGCGAGGTGTCAGAGTGGGAGCCACCCCCGGACGCTAGCTTCATAGCCGTCGGTGGGACATCAGGACCCGAAAACGCACCAGTGACCACAAAACTCAGTATTCTTACGAACCCTGACGGAAGTATCGACCGAAAGGTTGTAGAGGACAGTACTCAGCAAGACCCGTCG